TTATTGATTACATGTTGTCCTTATTCATAATCTATAAAAAATACAACAACAAGGTAACATAAAAGTTCAATTAAATATAATTACCGTTCATTTTCTAGTTCAAGCATATATATTTATTTTTCAAGTATTGATTTTGTAGGGATTTTGTTTGATTGAATGGAGGATTTCATTATGATCTGACACTAGTTAGAGAACCATTGGGAAACTAGCTGGGAGTACTGGACGGCTGTTTCGTCCTAATTTGAGACTCTTCAGAAGTACGCACCCACACAGCGGGGTTCGAGCCCAGAACCTTCTGGTTACAAGGCTAGCGAGCTCATAGTTCATTAAGCCACTGGGACCCCGATCCTATGACCAGCTCATAAATTCCAACTTCTGCCAATTCATGACATAGTGCGACCAATTCGCAATGTCTTCTTCGATGAATAACTATCCTTACCTTCAACCTGCTGTATCCTACTGGTTACGGCTTCTCACTAGAACTCCAGATCACTGCTTGAATAGAGCCAATCACTAGTGAGCATCAGATTAATTTTCAAGTATTGGTTTTTATATAAATTTATATTGATGAAAGAACATGTTTCTTTTTTGTTTTCCTCTGTAACACAAAAATGAAGCTAATATTAACTGTATCGAATAATTATCAAGGAAGTTTAAAAAAAACCGCAATTGACATTCTAACTATTTTCGTATGGTATAAAATGAATAAAAGGAAATGTACTCAATTGCATTATTTTTAACAGATGGCTAAATGTTACAGTGCTAAATTAAATCCTTATGCCCTAAAACATCTAATATTGTCTGTTTCTTTTGATATAAATAAAATGCGTATAATTTATTCTGACATTTAAAGTATTTGCAGAGAAGATTGAAATGAAATATTACTGAACAATCATTTTATCTGCATTTCCATATGGCTGGAAATAAGCTACATATATATATTGTCTGGAGGCTGTTTATCTTATCATACCACCGTACTTGGGCGGGTAAAGGTTTGAAAATATATGACCCAGGTGTTGTAAGGCGAGCTGCTATATCAATGAACTACAAGTTCCGAAATTATTTTGTTTTTTTTCTTTTTCGATTATGAATTTTTGTAGCGATTCGAATTAATTTCAATATGAATTCCGTCATGAACCAACATCAATTAGAGAGATCATTAAAGACCAGCTGGGAGTACTGGACAGCTGTTTCGTCCTCTTTTGGTGCTCTTCAGCAGTGCACGCCCGCAACTCGATTGCTAAGGATCGAATTCGCAACCATCTAGTTACCCGATTAGGCTGGTTGTAATTCGGTCCTCCCTGGTTTTCAGTAATCTCTAACTGATGTTGTCTCGTGTCAAAGTCTACATTGAAATTGTTAATTCTCCTATTTATTTCTTGCGTTCCAAGTGGAGCATAGGGCTTCCCCAGCGGTAAATCTCTGTTGCACTCAGTTTTCTGTAATTACTTTCAGTTGTCTCCACAACTGCCTACAACCTTCCGTTTCCTCTTCACATTATCGCCTGTATACTACACTCGAACCCATGCTTAACCAGTTGCTTTTCATTTAGGTTCCACTCTTCAGCCCGCTGAGTGTGTGATGTTACTTGAAGGTCCCCTCAGTGTATGTCTAATCCATCCCTGTTTCTTTGTGTACATTTAATTGTTGGGCATTAGATTTTTGTGCGCATGCCAAGAGTTCTTTCTGTTGCTTTGAAGGGATTATTATCAGTCATTTTTAGAATTACAGGATTTTCATCATGAGCTGACATCAGTTAGAGAACCATTGGAAAACCTGGGAGTATTGGACAGCTGTTTCGTCCTAGTTTGGGACTCTTCAGCAGTACGCACCCACTGGGATTCGAACCCAGGACCTTCTGGTTACCAGGCGAGCTCGCAGACCATTGAGCCACTGGGACCCGATCCAATGGCCCATGAATTCTAACTTCTGCCAATTCACGACATAGCGCGACCCCTAGCCAATGTCTTCAGCGAGTATTTTTCATGACCAGTAGGGTGCAGCAGGTCGGGTGTGAGGACAAATACTCGCCGAAGACATTGGCTAGGGGCCGCGCTATGTCGTGAATTGGCAAAAGTTAGAATTCATGGGCCATTGGATCGGGTCCCAGTGGCTTAATGGTATATGAGTTCTCCTTGTAACCAGAAGGTTCTGGGCTCGAACCCTGCTGTGTGGGTGCGTATTTCTGAAGAGTCTCAAACTGGGACGAAGCAGCTGTCCAGTACTCCCAGCTAGTTTTCCAATGGTTCTCTAACTGATGTCAGCTCATGATGAAAATCCTGTTACCAATAAAATCCCTACAAACCAACACTTGAATTTTTAGAATTGTTTCATGTTTCCAATCCATTATAAAATCTTAGATGGTATTAGTTTTGGAGTAATAGACACACTACACGTTCAGTTGATTTCTGTTCTTTCAATATAAGCTCATATTTTGACGGGGACCACCACCACCACCAATCAAATTCGATTCAGTGCAAATTACACTGAAGCTTTTTTCTGGCATCGCCTTACTACTTGATATATTTGAGTAGTTAAACTCAATACAAGTATGCAGTATAAAACCATCTTAGTATGGAAATGAACTGTGATATAATTATGAGTAATTGCAAGTGTTTAGAGGCGTAGTATAGTTAAGGATATTGTAGTTAGGCTTAGAGTGCTTAGCCAAGGAAGAGAAGTTAATCGCTGAGATTGTGAAGCTGCACTGCTTGAGATGACTAGGACACGTGTTGCACATTCCGAGCTACCCCTTTCCTCAGTGTGAGCAATATTAGCTGCATTGGGATTAGTTTGGAAGAGAGTTAGTGGTGATCAAATCGAAATCAACCTGATATCAATCCATGAAGTCTCTGACTGTTGTTTTGAGCCACGTAGTGAGGCTCAGATTGCCTGATGAGGGGTCCTCGAGATGCTAAGAATCATTAGCTGCGAACTGTTGGTAATATAACCCAGAATTGTTCTCATTAGTGTAGATTCATACTGTCTTTGTAATCTCCTTTATTTATTAAACCCTCAGGTTTTTCCATGTTACTACTTTTTTTTCTCTCTTTTGTTTACCTTTGTGTACTACGTGGAGTGTGATAACATGAACTTCTGCACTTCTGTGCAAAGTTCTATGCTCAAACTCAGTCAGTCAATAATGGAAGATTTTAAATACCCCTAATTTTTCTTCCCGACATTAGCCTATAACTCTAATTTGCATTGGTCCAATCATCATTATCCTTTTCTGAATTAATTAGCAAAGTCCTAAATTTTTTAGAGTTATTGGTGTCTTTAGATCAAGCAATCTTTCATTGTCAACTCCTATTGCTCCTGTCGTGTTGACAAGTATACCATAATGGCTGCTTAACCAGACTTGATGTCCACACTGCAAACTTGATTGGCAGAAAACTCAGTCAGTATCTACACTTAACGACTAGACAAATGACATTGGTTATTTCCTTGTGACCGAACTAGTATCTGCATTAAAGTATGTGACAGTAGGTCTTTCACTGTGAAGATGGTGATACCTAACCCGATATTATTTCCTTCAAGATCGTAGATAATACGCCTGAAATCAAACTTGTAATTTGCAAATTAATACATGAATAACAGAGTTCAGTGCGTCGGTGGCATAGCGGTAGACGAGTGCTTGCCGACCACGCATGTGGTTCGGAGTTCGACACCTGGCCGACTCACCCCTTTACCTCTCTAAGCCATTGATAAGACTGGTAAAGAGGGTAGGTTGGGCATGAGGCTAGCAACCCCATCCCGTAAAAGTAAATAAACACCACTGCTACCGAAACTTCTAGCCCTATGCTTCACTGGAAACGTAAAGGAATAAAAAAATAACATAGTTCGAGGTTATGGTTTCACCACAGTTTCCTTTAGAAACCCAGATTATTCAGATCACCATGAGTAGTAATCAAGAAACCAAGCGTAAATGCACAAAAATATGTACTAGTGATTAATTGAAATGAGTGTTTGTATACTACTCACATCAACCAGTAGTGTTTGTTGGTGAGAAGATTATCGAAGTGTTCTGCACACACGGGACAGCAGTTTTACCCGTTAATGGCCGAGATCATTAGCTATGTAGCTGATATGATCCAAAAATTGAGTGGTTTAAACTGTTTGGGCTTTCTGAACTGAGTGAAATTGGATACACCTCCGGTGAGCTCGATCCCAAACGAACGAAACCGCCGCCCGGCGTGTGTAGATCATTTCGATAATCTTACCCCAGCAAACACTACTGGTTGATGCGAGTAGTATATAAATACTCATCTCAAGTAATTAGCAGTAATATAGTTTAATACATAATACACACCTTAGTGGAAAAACAACAAGTATGGAGGCTAGTTTTAGGGCTTTTTATTGACCACCACCTCCAACCATGTAACGTTGATTTCAGACTGCGCCAGCATGGTAAGTCACTGTATTACAAACCTAACTTACATACAATTCAGTCTCACTAAGACTTCAGGACTAGAGAGACATACGACGTTTGTTACTCATTAATGTGACCAGCCAATCGATACTGACTGGGAAAAAGTGTTCCTGGCAAAGTTAAAGACTAGAGATCCATGCAGTGCGAACGCGTGACTGACCTTGGGGCAACCAATCAGAATAACTAGTGCTTTTTGCATAAATATACCGTTTATTTACTAGAAAATTACAGATAATATAAATATAACACCCTTGCTGTCATCGTAACCCTAACGAACCATCAATTCACTATCCAAACGAGATTAGGGTGAAATTTGCACCTCATTTGGTACACAGCGTTTATAGTGATACCACTGCAATAATAGTTGGGATCGAATGTTGAAATCCAATGATTAGTATGCGTTCAAGGTCATTGGTGTGTTCACACCTATTGGACTGGTATTCTTTAGCTTGGCCTGTTTCTGTTTTAGATTTTTGTAAAATTCAGTTGTTGTTTTTTCTGCAATAATTCCCTGTTAAATCTTGTATTAACTCTTACATTTCTTTCTGTGTGTGATGTTTCCGTCTTTCAGATTCATTCTCAATGTGATGTTCATTACTTTGTGTTTTCTATTCAAATCAATCAATCAATCAACAATCAAAGCGAAATGGCGTCAAATCAGTTTATATATATATATATAATATTATATAGTATTAACAGCCCCAAGTGTGAATGCATTTAATATTCTTTTGTTTTTTGCTTTTTTTAAATAAAAAAACTTTATTTTGCTTCTCTAACTTCAAATGCTTAATTGTAATTATAAATATAATTATCGTTATTTATAAGAATAATAATTATAATATTTACTTCCTTTTATTTATTGATTTATTGATTTATTTGTTCATTGAATTACTTTGTAATTGTTTTATTTTCCATCTTTTACCATTACCATTACTCCTCCCCCTCCTCAAGCTACTGCTCCGTTTTTTTTAAAAAATATTTTTTTTCTATTATCAATGAGTTAGTTATGTAGTCAGTTAGTTAGTTAGTTTAGTGCTAACCGTCGTCGTCCGTCCCTGTTTCCTACCATTCTGTTGAAGAATGTTGCACGAGGCGTAAACTGCCTCCTTCTTCTTCTTCATCATCATTGTCTTCTCCTGATTGTTTTTTACTTTTTATATTATTATTATTATATCACTATTATTGTTACTGCTATTACTACTACTACTACTAATATTATTTATTTTTTTCGTTTTCTTTTTGCCAAAGAGAGATACAAAAACACAAGTCCACAAGTGTGTGTTTTCTTGTCTTTTCATAACTCTGTGTGTGTGTGGGGGGTGTGTGCGTGAGTATGTGATTTTCTGAGATCTTATTATTACCCAATCATCGATATATACGTGTTTATATATATGTGCTCAACGAATTTTACTTCTACACTTTTCTTTCTTGTGTTTCTTTACTCTTCCGTGCATCCCACCCCCCACCCCCCGCCGTACTTTTCTTTTTTCGTGTGAAATGTATTCATACACTTAATTTATACTACTATTACCACTACTAATCATTTAATTCTCGCCATTTTATATCTTATAATGTCGAAGAAGCGCGTTTATCATCATCATCCCTAGGCTACATTGATGACACTCAGTCTCTTCGAGTCTGTCTTTATCTGCTTTGTGGAAATGTGTATATGATGTGACGTGACGTGACGTGACGAGATTGGCTGACTGACTAACCTGGTTGCATTGCATTATTTTATACATTAATGATTTAATTCTTACAGCTTTATTTATGTATTTGTATTTATATTTGAGTATTTACAGTTTTCGCTTGTATTTGTTTGTTTTCTTGGTGTGTTCTGTTTGTGTGTTTGCGTATGTGTGTATGTGTGTCAGGGTAACGTGTCATTAATAGTTCCACTGTTGTGTTTACTCTCTTTTGATAGATGATGTTGACGGTTGGCTGTGATGCATACAACATATATAAATATATTTATATAATATTCATGAATATGATTATTTATGACTAATGTAACTTCTATATGTATGTTTATGTGTTTGACTGGCATTCTCATCATTCATTAGTACTCTTTTAATCTGCAGAAACGCCTCTGCACACATTCTTTCTAGTCAGCTTTTACCTCAGTCTTTATTATTATTATTTGCACAGTGCATGACTGATTACAAGCCCTAACGAAATATATTAAATATCTCCAAATACATGTATATGTTCATTCACATAGATCTCATATTATGTATATTATTGCAAAAACTCTAAATATATATATATATATATATATAAATATATATCCATATTGTGCAATTTCCATCCAATGTAACCTATATATCCTATCCTGTTCTAGTCTATCCTTATTTTTTTGTTTACTAACTATTTATTTATTTATTTATTGATACACAGAATCTCATTTCCCCTTGTTGTGTTTGTTTTTTGAATTTTGGTTTTGATTTTCTTTTTGCTTTCCCCCCACCTACTTACTCATTGCCGCGCCCCGCCCCGCCCCACCACCTTGTTGTACACATTTAATAATCGCTGTTTCTATCGTGTTATTATTTCATTTCTCCTTGAGTTTTCTATGCTAATTCCTTTATGCATTCATTCATCTGCTCAGTGTTCATTCGTCACCTTACAATCCTGTCCATTTTTATTAAGTATTTCACAATAACCCCCCACACACACTCTCTCTCTTCCTCATTAGATAATATTTATATTTTTCTCGAATAGATCTTCTTGGTTTGTTATTAGCAGTTTGTTTATTCGTCTACTTACATATGTGCGTGCGTGCGTGTGTGTGTGTGCATCTGAGTGGTTGAATCAATGACTGAGTGCAATTCGTACACACACACACACACACGCACGCATACACTCATCATAGAAATCAAATGCTTATTGAATTCCTAATTCCTACCAAAAAAATTCCTTTTTTTATATTGTGCAACCAACCTTCCATGAAATGAGGATTAGTCAGAAGGAGGAGGAGGAGGATGCTGGTGATGATGATGAAATACTAATTTGTGTTTTTTTTCTATTAACGGAATAATGATAATAATAACAATAACAGCAACAATAATAATGCACTGATGATAAGGTTCTTACTATTGTTGATGATTACACTTCATATCATTTGTTTATTTTAAAATACAAAAACAATGCAAAAATCAATATTTATTCGTATTATTCATATATATATGCTACACCTTGTATATTTATACTTTATCAATCATTTATTTTTCTATCTCTCTCTCTCTCTAGTCTTTGTTGTTCAAAGGATGTGTAAAGTATGGCAGCCTTCCGTATGTATGTATGTACGTATATGTCTCTTTCTATGTCTGTGTGTGTATATGTGTGCATGTGTATGTGCGTATGTGAATATGTATAAACACAGTCATGCATTAGATATTTCACATATATGTGACAACACTCCATATCTTCTGATAAATGACTCCTTCTTTTTTGCATCTTCTCCCTTTTCCATACTTCTTTGTCTTTCTTTCAAAGTCAACAGGTGTGTGTAGAATAAAGTAGAATGTCTCCCCCTCCCTCCCTTCCTGTCTCTGTCTCTGAGTGTGTTTACCCTTTTTTATGCCTGTTCTCTTCCTTCTGTTCTTTTTGATGTTGTTGTTGTTGCATGATTGCGCAATTGTTGCGTGTAGATGTTTACCATCGATGCTTGTGTTTTCAATATCGGCGTAGTGATACGTCAGTGAAAAAAGAGGAGGCAGGCTTTTTATTAGAACGCTTTTAGGGTAGATAGATAAATAAAGACCGGCAAGTTTAGAAGGCTTTCAAAAGAGTCAGTTATTCCCTAACTGTCTTTGTTTCTCTATCTGTATGTTTTGTATGTTACCCTTTGACACTTGACAGTTCTCATTCACTCATTATTATTATTACTTCTATTGTTACTAACACTGCTATTATTATTAATATTATTATCGATCAAAGTGTAAAAATGGTGGGCTGATCAGCTGATTATCAATGAGTTTTATATACTACCGCTCTGCTACAACAACAACTACTACTACTTATTTCATATTATAGTAGACGCAACAGTTGAATAATGAATTGATCAATAAATTTATATTGTATAACGGAGAAATAAGCCTATGATCTGTGTGATTTTTTATTTCTAATGTAGACATGCTGATGATGTGCAGAATTTCTAATATCTATCTATCTATCTGTTTATATATACAACATTTTTGGTGTGTGTTTTTGTCTCCCTGTATTTCCCCGCCCCCCCTCTCCGTCTCTCCCTTGCCTCTTCTCTATCTCAGTCAATAATATTGTAGAAAGTGTAGCGTGTGCATTTTACATTTTTACAAGACCTTTTTATTTTTCGTTCATTTTTGTTCCGTGTTTTGTTTTGTTTTTTTAAAGAATATTTAATTATTTTTGGGTTTTCTTTCCCAACACACTCACACACATGTACATGTTTAAACATACACACATACAAGCAAACACACACATGGAAAACGCAACTCTTCTTTTATGGAGCTAACTAATTAACTAACTAACTAACTAAAAATAGTTAGTTCCATCTGTCGATCTTCCACACAAAACATATACATATACACATGTCCATCGATGAAAAGCATACATCTTTTTTTTATTCATGACGTTATTTCTCTTCTCCTCTGATTCCTCCTTATTATTGTTACTGTTGGCATTCATGCCAATCAATGTCACGTTATTAATATTATTATTACTATTACTATCATCATTATCCTTATATATTATGAAGGCAAAATCAATCCTGAAAACATTTATTGTGTATTGACAATAATAATAATAATAATTAATGAATTCCCCTTTTGTTTTTCCTACATATATTGATGCAGCCAATCAATGATACATACATACACACACACACAAACAAATACACATTTCTATATATATATATATATATATGTATCTACAGACGTGCATGTGTGTATTCACTGGAGTGGATGCGTGTATGTAGTGCGTTCATGCACACACACCAATGAACATTTATTTCCAAGGTCAAAGAAATATAAAATAAAAAAGTATGTTTTTATCAATTCTGATTCACTGTTTATTTTTTATTTGTTTTAAATTTGTTCTTATGACCTTGAGGAGGGATTTAGGGATAATGATGATGATGATGATAATAATAGTTGCTCATATCGTGATTTTGGATTATCTATCTGTCAAGCTAAATTTAGTTAATCTTAATATGAACTTCACTATGCGATATGCGTAGAATAATGTTTGCAATATATTAATTATTAAAAAGACGGTTGTAGAGAAGAAAACAATTTCGTTTAGACGATGTGATCAACTAGGCTGTACATTCGTGTATTTATATTGAATGTGTGTGTGCGTGTACCGAGTCCCCATTTCGTTAGTACCACATCCTTAGCCCGTAATTATACAAACTGACGAGTTTCCGAGTAATTATAATCCTATTTTTGTTGTCTTTTCTACCCGATTTCCCTGATTATTACACGTTGGAATTTTTAATATGACCTTTGACCTGAAATATTTCTAGAATAGTACCGCTACTTGTATTCTGTTTATTACACTTAGTAGTTTTATTAATCTAGTCTCTGACGGGAAATAATTCTGGAACTTTCTCACACAGTTGGCGTAAATACACGGATGTGCAGTCTAGTTGATGTGAGCGAGTTGTAGGGATAAAGTTTTTCAATGGGAAAATATCACTTATAAAAGTATGTTCGATAGATT